TTTTTTTTTTTTTAAAGAAAGCACTAGAATCTTTTTTGCACAGGGTGTTGTTGGCACTAGACTCTACTTTTCAATGACCTTAACCCTTTTAGTATCTTATAATAATATTATTCATAAAAATATTATTCATGATTTTATGCTTACAGCTGGTTAATGTGTTTCAGAGGAATGTTTCATCTAGCTCAGGGAAGTGCATTCTAAACCATACTTACATGAGAAAAAGAAAACCTGTTCACATTTTTTTTCTGATTTTGAAAAAGAAGATTTTGAGACTATAGCATAAAAATAAGCGTGAAAAGGAAAGAAAAGAAAATTATAAGTATATAGAGTATAATCCCAATTTTAAGGTATATTTCACCAATAAATGACTACATATTCACAGAAAAAAATACACGGAAACTACAGGTCAAAGTATTATTACTGATAGAGGAATTTTTAGGTTTTTTTACTTTCTTTGTATTTTTAAATATTTCTCCAATTTTTCCAATGAAATCAATGAAGAGAAATATGTGTTGTAATGCTTTTTTTATCCCACCCTCCTTCCTAAAGTGATAAGAAAAGCCTATAAAATGCTGAGAACCAGGTGCAGGAGCACACGCCTATAATCCCCATGACCCTCCAGAGGCTGAGGCAGGAGGATTACAAACTCAAGACCTGCTGCAGTTGAGTAAGACGCTGCCTCAAAAGTAAATGAACAGGGCTGGGGATGTAGCTCAAGCGGTAGCGCGCTCACCGCGCTCATCTGGCATGCGTGCAACCCGGGTTCCTCAGCACCACATACAAAGATGTTGTGTCCGCCAAGTACTGAAAAATAAATATTAAAAATTCTCTCTCTCTCTGTCTCTCTAAAAAATAAAAAAATAAATGAACAAATAAAAAGGGCTGGGATGTAGCCCAGTAGAGTGCCCCTGTGTTCAATCCCTAGTACTGGAGGACAGAGGGGGAACAAAGCTGAGAATATAAGAATATGTGCTAAAATTGACTAAAGTGCTGTACTGTGAATAGTTTTATATTTAAAATCCAAGGAAGTGGGAGAAGAAGAAAATATACATGCATGGTATTCCCATTGTACATCTAATTTTATGCCAAGCCCTTCATATATGGTATCTTATTTAATTCTCATAAAACTCTATCAGGAGACAGATATTATTAGTGTCCTTATTTTATAGAAAAGGTAACAGGCTCAGGGAAAAGAGGGAACTTGTTCAGTTTTACATCAGCAATTAAGTAGAAGGGCTGCAATTAAAACCTAGGTCTGACTTACTCCAAACCATTGTCTCAAGGAAGTCTGAAGTATTGAGAGAAGTATCGCTAAACTAGGAAGTCTAACTCATGCTTGAAGCCAGGGGCACTTAACCACTAACTCACGTCCTCAGCCCTTTTTTTAATTTATTATTTTTGTTTTATTTATTTGTTTGTTTATTTATTTTTGAGGTAGGGTTTCATTAATTAGGGTCTCACTAAATTGCTGAGACTGACTTTGAACTTGTCATCCTCCTGCCTCAACCTCGAAAGTCACTGGGATTATAGGCATGCACCACTGTGCTCAGCGAAAATTTGTTTTTACCAATATGCTTTTTAAAAAAATATATATTTTTTTAGTTGTTGATAGACCTTTTATTTATATGTGCTGCTAAGAATTGAACCCAGTGCCTCACACATGCTAGGCAGGTGTGCTATCGCTCAGCCCCAGCCCCCAATATGCTTTTAAACAAAAGACTGAAATTATACATTTATTTTGTACTTTGAATTATCTAGGAAAATTAAGCATGAATGAGAATTTTACTCCAGTGAAGACTGTGATGCCTTTGCTTGTTGACAGGGAAATGACACAGTTATTAGCTGTATTATGCAGTGTATGTGAAAAGCTAGGAGCCCAAGTGGTATGGAGCTCCAAGGTTGTGGGGTTAGAGCATCCATCTTTGGAGATTATTGAAGCTATTTTTGCCACCAGTGATAAAGAATGTAGGCCCCAAGGGCAGGCAAGATGCCTGAAGGCTTAGTCCATTATCCATCTCCAAATAAGGAGGTGTGGAGCAGATACCTTTCTTGAGTTAGGGGGAAAGATGAAGTAGACAGTGCTCTCTGACAGCCTCACTCACATTCTACATGAAATGAAATAGTGCCTTTAAAGAGAAACATCCAGTTACATTGAACCAATACTTTTCTGGTAATTGGAGAGTCAACTCTTTAGTCTGATTTCATATTAAACTTCCAAGAGTAATTTTATGTTTATGAAAACTGAAGGAAGACAACACAATCCTTTAAGTAGAGTGTTAGACTAGGTTAAACACTGATTTTCCTGCCAGTGTATGTGATCATCAGTATGTCTTGTACCATGTTTGGTTTTTTTAATCTGTAAAATGAGAATAACAACTTCACAGAGGTAGTGTGAGAGTTGTCATGAAAAGGAAAATATTTTGGACAAAAGTACTCTAGGTAGTACTCTAGTACAAAAGTACTCTAGATAGAGAAGTTTCCTTACTGAATTCAGAAGGCAGGATCCTTTTCCTTCTTTCATGTTTTTACTTCACAATGAGTGATCAGCATAGTGTGGTATTTTAAGCTACAGAAGACCTACTACCATAGTGGGTCACACTGCTGGTCTACCCAGTTTGGTATTCTAGCTCAATTATCGATACCCAGGGGTACTTCACAGGGAAGCATGAATATGGTCCTCCATTAAAAACTGCACTCCCTATAGCAAATTTGTCTTTGTTTCTTCATGGATCTATATGTATTTAAGAGGCAAAGCTTGCCAATTTGGAAACATAATCAAATGGTAATACTGAACTTCCTGATTAAGAAATATCACTTCCCTATTTTCAGACCAACTGAACGAGAACGAACAGAGAGGCTAATTAAAACCAAATTAAGGGAGATTATGATGCAGAAGGATTTGGAGAACATTACATCCAAAGAGGTAAGAGACCTCAAGTCTTCATTGTTCCAAGGCTAACAGTGGGTGTGGGGCTAGAAATGGTACATGTTTGAAAGAGATTAGTAAAATATGTCATCTTTGTTTCAGATACGAACAGAGTTGGAAATGCAGATGGTCTGTAACTTGCGAGAATTCAAGGAATTTATAGATAATGAAATGATAGTGATCCTTGGTCAGATGGATAGTCCTACACAAATATTTGAGCATGTGTTCCTGGTAAGTTTTAAGGGCCACTTTAAGTGGTATGTTGAAGTACTGTATGGACTGATGGATAGAGGGAGTAATTGTTTAATTTTATTATATTTAAATAAAATGTAACTTACATTCAAAAAGAAGATTGTAAGTACTCAAACCTCATCACTTCCTAGTTGTTTCACTGCATTTTAATATAATCTCTGCTCTTAAGGTTATATACATACATCTATCATAAAGTGAAAGTGATATAATGGTGTGCTAATGCTCATCTCCTTCCACTTTCTCACTCAGTAACATCAAACTGATACATAAATTGGGCATGGTGATGCATGTTTGTAATCCCAGCAGACTCAGTAGACTGAAGCATGAGGATTGCAAGTTCAAGCCAGACTCACCAACTTAAGGAGACCCTGTATGTTAATTTTAAAAAAAGGGGCGGGGAGGCACTCAACCACTGAGACACAGCCCCAGCCCTATTTTGTATTTTTATTTAGAGACAGGGTCTCACTGAATTGCTTAGCACCTTGCTTTTGCTTACGCTGGCTTTGAACTCATGATCCTCCTGCCTCAGCCTCCTGAGCCACTAGGTTTACAGGTGTGTGCCACTGTGCCTGGTTAAATAAAATATTTTTTTAAAGGGCTGGGGGTGTGGCTCCATGGTTAAGCACTCCTGGGTTCAACCCCCGATACAAAACAAACAAACAAAAAAATTCACTATAGTAGAAATATTTACACCAAAGAAATTGGCAAATGGTATAAATTAGCCTTTTCTTCCCCTGGATTGTTAAATATTTAATCAGCTTTTCATAGTACTTATATCAAAAACACCAGTGGGCTATAGTTTTATACAGTGCTAAATAGGATGATCTTTAAAATATTTCTTGCAAGTCTGTCAAATGTATATTTGAGCAGAACAAGTAGGAATTATTTATAATTGAGAGACCACTGGACCTTATTTATTCATTTTTTGAGATTCTGGGGATTGAAACCAGGGACTCACACATGCCAGGCAAGCAGGCAAGCACCTACCTCTGAAATATAACCCCAGCCCTGGATTTTTAAACATATGCAATTTTGTAGCTACGTTTTGAGCAAACCTCCCCCCATGCTTTTCCTGATTACCAAAACATCAGTGACTAAACATTGTTCTTCATAGTTCCTGAACACTCAATGACCTATAATTAGCCCAAGGAGATCTCTCTGACAGATGAATTAAGAAAGCTTCTAATATCCTAAGACCCATTTTCCTTTCAAAGGTTAAAAACTTCTAGCTTTCATCTGTACCCAGTAGAGTGAACAAGGTTAACAAGAATAATTAAAAATCAATGAGGAATGCTATAGGAACCTCATTTTTTTTTTTTTACTTCCCATACATTTTGGCCCAAAATGTTAACAAGAAACTATATCAACTGGTTTGTGTTTCATTTCCTTTCTCTGATGAGGACATTTGTGAACTGTGAAAAGATTATAAGGTGGAAAACAGGAGAGAAAAGGAATAAATGCATAGCAACTGACTAAACTGGATCATCTTACTGAGTATTTAAGAGTTTATTTCACCGGGCAATTAAACTTTGTGCTGTAAAAGGGTTCTGCTGAGTTAATCTGTTGACGTTCTGGGTATGTGTGTCTCTAGAATGATTCATACTGAATTATAACTATGAAATTACTCAGAGCTGGGAGGGAAACTTCTTTTCCAGGTTTTTAACTTGACTAATATGTGTTGCCATTTCCGCATGTAGATCATACTGACCTATTTGTAAGGTCAGTATGATCTACATACTGGTTTATGTAGAACATACTGTCTACAGTTTTACTGTCCCTTATGTATACTTCCATGAGGGCTCAAAGATATCATGCGTATATATTGCTGGGAATAATCTTAAGTGTTAACTGTATAAAACTTACAAGTCATTCATTCATATGGGCCCTGCTCCCCCCGAACTGTAGCCATGAAACCTGACTCATGTTTTGTTTTGTTTTTTATGAAGGGCAAATGCCTGTAACCAAAAGGAGCTCATATTAGAAAGTGACCAGAGTTACACTTGAGTCACTTTCAGTGTCCTTTTTTTTTTTTTAATTAAAATTATTTTTATTTTTTTATTTTTATTTTTTTGCCATGCTGCAGATTGAACCCAGGGTCTTATGCATGATAGGCAGGAGCCATGCTTCTGTATTATACATCCCCTTCCCTGAGCTTGGATTTTTAGTACCTTCAAAGAATATGGACATGATAAATATCAAATACAGCCAATTTCTGATTGGTCATCCTATTTTGTTCTAGACATACTTCCTTATAGTTCTGTTGCCACCCTCTCTAATATTTCTTCCTTTTTAACATTTTCTCATATGGTATATCTGAGGGCAATTGGTAAATTTTAATAGTACTTTTTAAAAATTTAATTCCTCTCAAAATTGTATTTCCCTAATCAACTACAAAAGCATTCAAGTGGGCTGAGGTATGGCTTAGTAGTAGAGCAGTTGCCTAGGATGTGTGAAGCACTGGGTCCTATCTCCAGCACCAAAAGAAGCATTTATATTCCTAGATATATCTTATGATTTCACAATTCTTCCTTTTTGAGTTTTTTTTTTTCTTATTACAAAAATAATTTGTTTATTGTAGAAATTTTAAATGACAATAAATCTTATTTAATTACCACCAAAACAGATTGTCTTTGTCACATTTTGTGCCTCCACTAGCTCCCCCGTGTTTTTGTTTTTGTACTGAGGATTAAACCCAGGAGTACTTTATCACTGAATTACATTTCCCTTATGTTTTTGTTTGTTTGTTTGTTTGAGACAGGGTCTCACTAAGTTGTTGAGGCAGGCCTCAAGCTTGTGATCCTCCTGCTTCAGCCTCTTGAATTGCTGGGATTACAGGCATGTGCCATTATGCCCAGCTTAATTTTTACTTTTATTTTTACACACACACACACACACACACACATATCATATATGGACTTTATATTTTAGAGCAGTTTTAGATTTGCAATGAAATTAAGCAGAAAAAAAGATTTTCCATATACCAATTTTCAGGCCATAATAAACATTCAACAGAGTGGTAATGTTTATTACAGTTGATGAACCTACATTGGCACATTCTTTTTTTTTTTTTT